CTCTTTTTTTTGCATGCGGAGAATTGTGGGAAGACAGGTATCTTTGTCCGTGCGTCCTTCTTCCCAGCTCGCCTGCCACTTTGAATCAGTCACAGGGCCACAGAGATGGTGGAGTTACTCAACAGGAGAGTGGCATCAAATATGTGGAGGGTGCTCATCCAGAGCATAAACGACTCTTCATTATATGATGGGAACCCAAGTCTCAAATTAAAAAATAAAACAAGGCATGATGTAGTTCTAGCCGCACTCCAACCACAGAGAGCCATTGTCATACAATCACGGGAAATATTATGTTGATTGGCAAGAGCCTGGCTTTGTAGAAGGGACAAAATTCCCCTCAGCTAATCTACAATGGAATTGTTCAATGTCAGGCACGGCTTTAATAATGTCGTTCTGGGCTGCGCTGGATGTAAATACCCTACTTGTCATTTTGTAAGCAATCAAAAAGAAGCTTTATAGACAGGAGACCACAAACTGTTGTAATATCTGTGCTGAAAAACACATGGACAAAACAAAACAAAACAAAATCAAAGAATGCTGTGCCTTAGAAAGACATTGCTTTGTGACTTATCTCTAATCTGTGTCTGTGCAAAGTTGCTCATTAAACATACAACAAAAGACCACACTTTTAATGTTACCCTTGATACTATTAGGGAAAAAAATGTATGGGATTGGAAAATAATACATGAAAAAGATTCAGACTATTAAATGTGGACATTCAAAGGATCACCTTCTATTTATAATGCAGCCTCTGTCCCCAGAAGGACACAGGAGGAAGGGGGCTTGTGTATAGAGCATCGGCTTTGTGCACAGGTGTTTTGCCTCTGTCAGAAAAAAAAAAAAAAATGTTGCCTTCGGATGAAGAGCACTGAACAATGGAGTCAGAAAGACCAGGATTCTTGATCCACCTCTACCATTTGCCAACTGCATGGCCTTGGCTAAGCCAGCTGTTTAACGCTTTCTGTGACTTGGCACTATCATCTGTGAAATGACAATACATCTATGTCCTGTAGGTTCCTTTGAACCTTTGAAAACGAAGTAAACGTTTAACACAGGACCAGAGGCATACAGAGCCCTAAGGAGTGGGTATTAGAGCCCTTAGGGGTGGGCAGTCCTACTGTGTGTTCAACTTGGTTGCCTCAAAAAAGATCTGTTGAAGACCTAGTCCCCAGTACCTGTCAATGTGACCTCCTTTGGAAACAGGGTCTTTGAAGATGACTTTATAAGGAGGTCATAAGGATGGGTTTTTTCCAGTACAGGTTACAAAGATGTATCACAGCATTCTGTGAGGAGGGACTCTAGAGGGGCAACCTGCCTGCTAAGGAACCCCAGAGATTGCCAGCAAGCCACCCAAAGTGGGAGGAGGAAAGAAAATACACCATGCCCCACAGACTTCTTCATTTCACCTTCTGCCCTCTATAACTGCACAACAATGGCAATGAGTCCATGCAGTTGTCAGCACCCAGTTGGTGACACTTTCTTGCATCTGCTCTATGGGCTAGCACACCCCTGCCCCCCTTAGAGGAAAGAAAGTGACCCAGTTTTCAAATGAAGGACAGAAGTCCAGAGAAGTGAGGTGTACAGTTTGAATGATCCAGCCAGAGCTGGTGGAGCTGGATTTGAACCCAGGCCTCTCTGAGTCCCAAGTCAACTCACTCTCCATTCACTGTGTGACCTCTCAAGATGAGCGCTTGATCAAAAAGAAGGTGGGGTTGGGGAATGGGCCCCCTATTTTTTACAGCCTGGTTCCAGTAGAGACCCATTTCAGAGTGGTATGATTATGAACAGCTCATTAAGGAACAGTAAGCATTTGAGTGACTTTTTAAAAAGAATCAACTTTTATTTATAGTGACGTTCCAGTCATTAATTTCATAGGAAGAAAGCCCAAAGCAGAGGTAGGTTCATTAAAAATTTGACATTAGTAATTTAATTAAATTGGATCTTTGCATCTTGTTGCGGAAAATGAAACGTTAGTTCTACACCACTTCTCAGTCTGTTTCTCCACTGGTGCCCTCCCTGCACCTTAGCTTACTTTATTCACTAAATGTTTACCTGGCCTCCTTGATCCTTAGCACCCCCCCACACACACACACACATACAGACACATACACATCAAAGGTATTGCCTGTACTGTAAGCCAGCAGGCAGGGGGCATCTTGGGAAAGCCTGGGTGAATCAGGAGCAGGAAATCATGGGAAATATAACTTAACCAGCAGCGTGGGATCTTGGGAAAAGCTGAGTGAGCCAGGAGTAAAGGATTATGGGAAATAGTAAGTCAGGGAGTCAGAAAATACAACTGAACCAGTAGCATTGCATTATGGGAAATGCTTATGAGCCAGCATGAGGGGACCATGGGTAGAACAACTGAGCCAGCAGCAAGGGATTGTAGGAAACACCCAGTGAGCTAGCAGCAGGGAATCATGGGAAAGGCCAACTGAGCCAGCAGCAGGGCATTGTAGGAAACACCCAGTGAGCTAGCGGCAGAGAATCATGGGAAAGGCCAACTGAGCCAGCAGCAGGGGATCTTGAGAAACATCTTGTGATCCTCCAGTAGGAGGTGACAGATGGGAACAGTGAGTGAGTCAACAGCAGGGGCTCATGGGAAATGCTAAGCTGGACCAATTGACAGTGATGATTGCAGATCCTTTCACTGGGTCATCTAACATACCAGAGGTAGAGAATGGAGGAGGAAGGACTCTTGGGCCCTTAACATTATCCTACCAGAACACAAGCCTCTGAGGGCAGAGACCCCTTCTACCTAGATCACCACTATACCCTCAGCTCTGAGCACAGTAGACCCACAATAAATTTTTGTTGCACAGAGGAATTAATGCATGAATGAATAGCTTCAAACTAATTAATGAACACAGAAACATGCCCCTTTAAGTACCAGGCACTGTGCTTATCTCCAGGCTACACATGTGAGCCAGCCAGGCTGCTGCCCTCCTGGCCCTGAAGCCCAGTGGAATGAGAACATGTGCCTTGCAACATTTATCAATAACCTTCCCAAATACTTCCTGTTCAGGAAACTGGGCTCAAGGAGTTCATGTGACTCAAAGTCAAACAGAAGGAGACAGTGATGGTATCTGCCTTCAGACCAGGATGGCTCCACAGTCTGCCATTTCCCTCCTCACAGAGATGGCTTCCCCCAGAAAGGAAGGCAGGGAGGGAGAGAAGGAGGAAGGGAAGAGCAGGAAGAGGAAGAGGAGGAGGAAGAGGGAAAGAAGAAGAGGAAGAAGGGGAAAGCTGGCTTTTAGAGGGTTGAGATATTCAGGGGTGGTTGGAGAAGGTCCAGGAAGACAGTCACCAACTTGCCAGGAGTTGTAAGAGCTTAGAGAGACTAGAAGGTTCAGCCTGCCCATCTCCACTTTCTGTGTCATCCCCCCACCCCACCCCCCCACACACACACATCTCTCTCACTCAGACTGCCTGAGCCCCTTCATTATTTCTAACTCTAGGGCCTTAGCGTATTTGTCTTCTCTGTCTGAAACACTTGTTTTGGGTTTTTTTTTTTTTTTGGTCTTTTTTTGAGACAGGGTCTCCTTGAAGCCATGGCTGGTCTGGAACTCATTCTGGAGACCAGGCTGGCCTCAATCTCACAGAGATCCGCCTGCCTCTGCCTGAGATTAAAGGCACGTGCCACCATACCTGGTCTGAAACACTTTTTGCCCTTTCTAACTCTCACTAATCTAAGAGGCCTGCACAGGTGTGGCCTCTTCAGGACGCCATTTCTGAGCCCCAGACTAGAGTTGGTCTCCTGCCTGGTTCCTCTCCTAACCATACTGTTTAGGCCGTCCTTAATGGTGCACACCTCCCACGGGGCTAGAACTTAGATTCACTTGCGTTGTTCTCACCTGTGTACCAGGCTCTGTCCTAAGCCCTTTGAATGCCGGAACTCATTGAAATAATCACTAGGACCCTTTGAGGAAGGTGCTGTTGTGATCTCCATCTTTCCAATGGTGAGACTGAGGCACAGAGCAACTAAGAGGCTTGCTCAAGGCCCCACAGGGAGTGAGCCACTAGGCAACACTGAGATGCTGGGACAAGAACCCCAGGCCTGAGGCTCTGAGTCTGTGCTTTCTCTAAGTACCCCACTACAGGCTTCTTAGAGATGGCTTTCACGAGTCAATGCTGGCAGAGAAAGGGGGAGATGCATGGAGAGGAACTGAACTGTGATGCTGGCAGACTGACACCCCTGGTTTTTGCCCTGTGAGGCTCTCCTGTAATCTGGGAGCCATGACCTTTAGAGTGCAGGCACTTTCCAGCCCAGAGAGAGGGAGCTGAGTCAGGGGAACAGGTGACACACAGACACTAAGGTGCTGCATCCTCCCTCCCCGATTGATGGGTCATGATGCTCCTGCACCCTCACCAAGACCGTTTGCTCTGGATAATGACAGTGCACACACAGGTGGCTGTGATTGCTGTGGCTCATCATGTAATGAACCGCCTATTCTCAATTCTCCCCTTTATTCTGGCTGGGCAGAGGAGAGCTCGAGTTCTCGTCTTCTCTCTCTCTACCTAGTGCAGAATTCACTGACCCCTTTAACTCGCTGCACCTGTTTGACCACAGACTCTGCCATTAGGTAGTGTAGCATACACAAAGAAAGAACAAGGGTTTAAGGAGCAATGGCTAGGTGCCGTGCTCTGTGACCCTTCTGTGAATTCTCAAGTCAAGTCAATCATGCCCAAGAGATTAACTTGTCTCTTTAGGGTCTCATCTCCAGTAATAAGGCTGGGTGTGACTCACCCCCAGGGCTACACATTAGAGGAAGCAGAACACCTGGATGTTTGATGACAAATCCTTAGCCTGCAACCTCTTTCAAGTAACCTGTTCTCTGATGATAGACAGCCAAAGGCGGGGAGGTTTGTAGTGTAGCCAGAACTATTCACAGAAGAAACGAGGCCCAGGCAGGTGGCCTGGCCCAAGGAGTGTTGCTAGGATCAAAGTGTCCAAGTTCAAGACCATCTCACCTGTCACGTCTGTCTCTCTCTCCTCACAGTTCTCCCCAGCCACACGTGTGGGAACCCAGGGAGGCTGCCCAATGGTATCCAGCAAGGCTCCACCTTCAACCTCGGCGACAAGGTCCGCTACAGCTGCAACCCCGGCTTCTTCCTGGAGGGCCATGCGGTGCTCACCTGCCATGCTGGTTCCGAGAACAGCGCCACATGGGACTTCCCTCTGCCCTCCTGCAGAGGTAGGTGACCACAAAGGGGCTGCGGGAGGAGGTGGAGGCCAGGAGGGCACGTCCAAGCTTCCGGTGGGATCCATCTCTGGGAAGACTTGCACCCACCGCCACAGCGGGGCATGAATTTGCCACCATGGGAAACACGTCTGGGAGCAGTCCGAGGTCCTCAAGGTCCCCAGATGCTCCCAGGCTCCTCAGCCTCACCTGAATTCCTAGTCCTCAGATATATACTTCCCGAAGTTGCCCCCATGTCAACACACTTATTTCTAACTGTCCCCGCTCACTGGTCCCATCTGAGAGACAGCATCAGTTCCTTTCCTGTTAGACGCCAAGGCTTGTTAGACTCATTCATGGAGCACTCCCACAGCAGATTCCTGACCTTGTGCTGGGATTATTTCCTTTATTTCTGTGAATTCACCCTCTCTCCGAATTTCATGGTTCCTTCCTCCCAGCCTCTAAGTATCCACTAAACCTGTTTGTCCTAGCACTCTCCTGGCTTGGGTGACCAGTCATCCCTATTTACCCAGAGCTTTCCCATTTCTTTGTATATTTTCTTTCTTTCTTTAAATAAATAATTTGAGAATTTCGTGCATGCATATAAGGCGTTTTGATCAAATCCATGCCCAGTCCCTCCCCTCCAACTCCTCCCATAGCTCCCCACCACTCTCCCTCCGACAACTTCACGTACTCATTCTTCTTCTCTCATTTATTTATTTATATTTATTTTTTATGGGGCTTTTGGCTACTCTAACATTCCCCCTTCTGAAGAGGTAACCCTAAAATCCTTTAAGGATCAGATACAATCTCCCAAATACTTTCGACATTTTTGGCCTTTGGAACAGAGTATGTTGCTAAGAGGCCCAAGAACATTTTGACTTTTAGCCAAGAAACTGGCTACTTTTCTTTGGGGTCTTTTTACCCTAACTACCTAACCAATTCCTACCTCCTATTCTTATCACACCATCCTCTGAAGAGGTTACCCAAATTGACAATAGGGAATCGGTATGCAGATCGCTCTGGCTTCTTCCATGCTGAACAGGGATGCAGGGTGAGGCAATTGGGGTACCCCTTCAGTGGATCTATCTAAAAGACTCCCAGATTGCATAACTCTTATCTCTAAGGGGAAAAGAAAGTCCAAGAATCATGAATATGAGATGTGACAGAGAAGTAAAGGCAAGAGTAATTAGCATTACAAGTTCTAGACAGGGAACTAGAAAAAAGAACAGAGCATATTTCAAATGTTCATATGAGAGTCCATTGGAGTTTCTTGACAAGGGCTTCCAAAAGCATCCCTCTATTGGGTTCCTCCT